CATTTATATAACTGCATTTACAATATTTTTACATTTGAATAAACAATAATCAAATGCAGAGACAGTTATTTACCAATATGTTAGGAGTAGTTACATTTACAACCGGCCCTTTGTGGGCGACCATGATGCTGATGTGGCCCAGAGTGAAAATGAGTTTGAGACCCCTGATGTAAAGTGAGACACACGGTGATCCATTAAAACCAGCTGAGCAAACTAAGAAGCCTCTATTGCATTAATGTAAAGCTCCCTTCCTCAGAGATCCCACTGATGAAGGAGCGATATTAGTTAGATTAACGTTTTATAGGGAGAGAGTTCTTCCACATCGCAAGTCCGTTATCACATCATGATGACTTCCTATACGAGCGCCATCGATTCTGCCGACAAGGAATCATTTATTTACAGACCTTCTGGAGCCATACATTGAACACCACACGCCGCAGCCGAGCATTGATGTCTCACAGACTGGATGCAGCCTTGTGCTTTTCTGCGAGTGGTACATTTTTGTACAGTGTCGGCGATGCGGAGAACATGCATGCCGTGCTGTTCGTAAAGTTTATTTGGCGCTTAATAAACTTATGGATGTGTTCATTACATCACCATGGCACATATTGTACTGACTCAGCATTCTGAGTAATGTGTTTGTGCTTAGTGTTTACTTGCTCCCATGTCCTCTTGATGGCTGCGTTGCATACATGAAGGTTAAAGCACTCATAATTATATGACAGTGTTATTAATACACCATAGCATATCATTATTGTAGAAAATGATTAAGGTGGACTCTTGATAAGAATAGAGAGAATCACACACAATTTCTTTTCACTGCTTCAATTAATTGAATTTCTGATTATGAATAATACGTACATACATACATACTGATCTGCCCATACACAGATTCACACACATATTCAAACTCCTAGTTCTATATGGTAATCTACACATACATGTATATATACACATATACAGTACATGATACATAAGGGCATAGGCTACAGTACATATATCCTCATATTAATTCGTATCAATTAGATACTCTTTGGGCTTTTTTTTAATCTACTTATTCTCAAAGAGTTGAGATCATTATTTTCGCTATAAGATCTCATTGGATGATGCATTCCATTAAGCCTACTGCCAGCAGGCACATTTAAAGAAATATAATCTGATTGATTGGGGTGATGAGGCACTTAAAATTAGCCGATACATTTTCCCAACACTTACGCATTTAACTTGTCTGTGATATTTTGCCATGCTTCTCATCTAGCCCTCGCAGTGGTGGCAGTGTTAGATTTTTCCATGATGATAGTCTTGAGTTCCTCAAATGCGTTCATGATTATCTCCTGCTCCTCAGCGGAGTAAAAAGAGGCTCTTTCTTTGAGATTATTTGACATTGTACTGTTAGAAAATCATGGTTTCGGTGATCGAACCTTTTGAAGTAGGACGGGCACGCGCAATTATCCTGATCCTGATCGTCTGGTTCGAATTAACGAGATTGTTTGAGCGCGGATCAGCCTTTGAGAAACCGAGATAGCCTGATTTCAATCATCGGGGTAATTTAGGCTGGCTAATAGGACATTTGATCGACTTAGTTGAACCACGTACGAGGAACAGGGCCCTGGTTTCACACAGGACACAAACAGCGGTCTCCTGGGTGAAAGTGTTTGATCCATGAACCCCCCTCCCTACGATGACTTTGATTAAACGTTCTCGTGAAACGTCAAAAACAAGAAACAAACAAAAACATTGACAATGCAGCTTGGTTGCATGGAAACATGATTTTAGGAGACTGGCTGGTGACATCACCTTTTTTTAAATGAGCCATATCAAACCCGTAAACGGAGCTCAGAGAAACAAATAAATAAAAAATATATCTCTTGTTAAAAAATCAAAACTTTAGCAAAAAATGAAAGTGTTCATGTGCGCTGATGAAGAAAGCATAAGTTCATGTGGCCTTTAAAGTAAAAACATCAATATTTTGAACAAAAAAATAAACATTGATTGAAAGTCTGACCGGATCTTTTCAAAAGGTTATTGCAGCACAGTTATGTTGTTTCAATTGAGCCAGCAGTCATTAGTCCTGCTGAGTGACTTGTTGACTGGTTGAGTCCATCAGCACAAAAACACACGTGGGATAGGCATGCGTGTGTGTGTGTGTGTGTGTGTGTGTGTGTGTGTGTGTGTGTGTGTGTGTGTGTGTGTGTGTGTGT